AAAAAAAACCGGCACGTGTCCTCCTCGTTCATCTCCGTTCAGTCATTTCATCCGGTTATAACTTAAACTCCGAACGATCCAGTTTCGCGACATTTTTCGTTAAATTGTTTCCTATTTTTGGAAGAAAATGCTCGCTTCAACCGCGCTACCCTCGAAGAAATCTTTTATCACGGTCACTGTGCTAATTCACCTCGAACAGAGGATGGCGACTGAAAATGGAAACGAAATTTTCGGGCAGCGTCTATTTTCGGAAGATTTAGAAGGAAGATCCGTCCTGCTTAGAATGACAGAAGTCGCATCGGTGACACGTAGCGAATCGTAACCGCGCGACCTCGTCGATTTCGTTCTTTTGTTTTTCGTCCGATCGATATTTATGAATCGGCCGATGATCGAGCATGTGTCTTGGCCGGCGCCTGCTGATGACCTCGAGTGACCCAAACTCTTCCCGGCACCGTCGCGATAATTTCCTTTCCACGCGACCTTTCGTTTTTACGCGCGCGATAAGATTACGATGAAACCTCCTTTTCTGCGTAGAGATGCATAAATTTAGCAGATTGTCGTTACTTTAATTGGCGTCGGTGCTACGATACTGTCTTCGAAAATACTCGCGCTTCTCGCTCCGACCGCGTCGTTCAAAGTAATTATAGAAACAAAAAACTCGAGTAATAAATTAAGCAGAAATCGATACTCGACCAGTCTCGAGAATGTAGCGTCGGTGGCTCGAGATATCGGTGCATCGGTAATAAGCGAGCTCGAGTAAACATTACGAGCGAGAGACTTCTCCGTTCGTTAAACAATAATAACGATCGTCGCGAATGGCGGTGGCAGATGGCCGCTATCGAGAGTGCGGCCTTGTTATCGGCGCGATAACGCTTCTAAACTAACACGCGGCGGGCAGAGACGATGCCAGGTGGCCAGTAACGTTATCTCACTTGCTCGGGCGCAGTTCCGCCTCGCTTGTTCGCACTCTCTCTCCCTCTCTCTCCTTATTACAATTCGTCTTTCTTCCGCTCCAATTTGCTCGGTGGCGAAAGAAGATGCGACGAAGAGGGGCCGTAGACGTTTCGCGGCGGCATTGAACAAACTGGAGTCTCGTTCCAATTAACCCAGCTTTAACCCGTGACTTATCGCGTCGCGGGGAAGTCGCGCTCGGGTCGCAACGGCGGACGGGGAATCTATGTTTGGCTCGAATCGGCGGGCATGGCACTTACCGCGCTCGCAGGAATTCCGTGCGAGAGCCCTTCGGTTGGACCGTTTCCAAGATACGCGGCATCTACGAAAGGTTTTCGGGAAAGCGTCGCGTTCGCGGGGTCAGCGTGATCGCCAACCAGAAAGGAAAGACGATCCGGTTGCCCGTTCACGTCGCGATCGTGATCCTCCTTTCTCTCTCTCTCGCTCTCTTTCTATCGGAAAGGCAATAAAAGGAGAGCAACGAACAGACGAGGTTGGCGCCAGCGTCATGTGGCGGCCGTGCTTTGCTCTTCCCGGCTTGTTTCTCTGGAGAGGACACGAGAAAAAGACAAGGAAGAGCGACGGAGATGAGCGGGGTGGAAAATGGCGTTTATTAATACCGCAGGATCGAAATCCAGCATACGCCATTTGACCCTTGGATTTCTAATCGGAGAACCGAGAAACTTACCGGCGTATTTTCCAATTACACTTTAGTCATCACGAACGAAAATGAAGCCTAATGTGCGCCTAGAAACATTCCATTTTGTAACCAATTTTGTAACCAATTTTGTAACCAATACATGCGTTTAAACAATTTGTACTAGTTGATCAATTGCACGTTATACAGGGTGTCCCAGGAGGAAAGGTCAATACTCTGGAAGGCGATAGTATCGGTCATTTTAAGCAAAAATGTTCATATGAATGTACGTCCCATTCCCCACTGTTTTCAAGATGGAGCTATTTGAATGTACAGTTCCAAAATTATAGACAAGAAAGAAATACCACGTACTATTTCTAACGTTTGTCGTTCAAGTGATACATTTTTTACAGATCATACAATAATAAATTTCTCAACTCTTGTGTGAACATGGCGTGTTGCTCGCTCGAGATTTGTGAATATGCGAGGCATTTTGAACGTTTCTACAATGTTATCGGCACAACAGTCAACAGACGTATAAGAGTATTCCCGCAGACGTTTATGAGGTTGGACGAAGGGTCAAGTGTACAGAAAAAAAGTAAATATACGAGACATTCAAGCAGCTCTATCTCGGAAGCAGTGGGGAACGGGACATATATTCATATGAACATTTTTGCTCAAAATGACCGATACTATCACCTCCCAGAATATTGACCTTTCCTCCTGGGACACCCTGTATATTGCGCAATCGTACTTTGTCGACAAATTTTTTAAATGGTTTGATTTGCTTACATAAAATAGAATATTTCTACTTTATCTTATATTTTCCGCTTGCAAATTATTCCGATGAAAATTAGAGCGCTACGTCAATTGGAGAATCCCAAGAAAAAGAGCCAGCTAATAAAAGAAGCTCGCGGAGAAACGCCGGCTTCGATTTCGAGTAAATACACCGCCAGACGCCTCTTAAGGATGTTAACTGATTCCGATTCACAGCGATCGTATTCGGGAGAGGAGACCGACGAGTGAGACGGAGAGGGCGAGTGCGAAAGCGAGATGGGGCAAGATGAAAGAATCGCGCCAGCCGCGGCGCCGGCGATCCGCGATCGAGAAATCCGATGCATCATGCGCAATGCGCAACGCTCGCGCCGCTGCGCAGTCAGCGACCACCGGCTCGTGTGAGTTATTGGCTCCGATCCGATCGTCATCGGGCACCGACTGTTCGTTCTCGCTACCGGGGTTTGCCACCGCGCGGAGACTCGCCGAATAATTGAGCGTAATCGCGGGAAGAGCGTCAAAGATCGCGCGCCGCTCGTGCGGAATTTTACGCGTCTCGCGGTCCCGGGAAATGTGAGAAAGGTCATGAAATCGCGATCGCCGCTCTGACGCCGGATAAAATTACGCACCGTCGTGTTTGCATACGCATTTGTTACACAAACAAGACGGTTACGTCAGCCGGCTTGATAATTCGCGCGTTGTATACAGTTTCGCGATTCTCGACTCGCGCGCGCGTCGCCCTTGCGAAACGCGCGTGGCTCCCCCGATCAGCTTTTCCAAGAATCGCTGGGCATTTAAAAAACTGTACGTATACAGGGTGCGTGCCCATTTGCTCTCGGTACCATCATAGTATAACTAGCATGCCCACACTCTGTCGGTCTTTTGATCTTTTCGGTTTCGGTCACGTGGTATTCCGCCATGTTTTTGGTATAAAATCCTGTCACACTGATTTCACACTACCACACATACGACATCCGGCTCATTGGCTCCACCAAAATAATGGCGGATGCGCAGAAAGGATCGACGCAAAACAAAACAAATGACAGAGTGGGCGTACTAGTTATACTATGGCACTACTGCCAATACTGAACGCTATTACTGTATTTGGCTTCTCAGAAAGTCATTCTCAAATGAAACCTCGGTATCCTTCGTAATAACATAGGGGTTATTTTCTAAATGCAACCATCTACCCCTTTCCTTTGATACGTACATTAATCTAGCACCTCCACCACTAAAGATCGAAGTCGGACTTGTAGAAAAATTTAGTGCTAATATACTGCTAATTTATTGCCCTAGTCCGAAATTTATTGCTTCAACCCTTTCGCAAGAAATTAATGTTGAAAGTGGGGGTGCTGAGTTAACATTAAGCTAGCACCCCCACTGCTAAAAACACACAAAACAGAATTCTTTGATACTGAATGCTCGAGTCTATTGGGAGTACTGTCAGTAGCACCGAGAGAAACTGGGAACACCCACAGTCCTGTCATTTTCTACACTGAAAAAAATTTCTGGTTGAATATGGACGAATCAGATAATTCCTTTAGGATTTACCAGAATTCCTTTAGGATTTACCAGAATTTCTGTAGGATTGCAGGAATTCTGGTAAATCCTAAAGGAATTATCTGATTCGTCCATATTCAACCAGAAATTTTTTTCAGTGTAGGAAACCTCGTTGTCCTTAAAAGCGCAAAAATCATGCGTGCAATAACAAGTACGTGGAATCGCTCCTGACCCCTTCCGAAGTGCGTCAGACGAAAAGACGACGGCGAGGTGAAACTGTTCGCGCGATGACAAGCGTCTTCGCCGGCGATACTAAAATCAGCGAAATTAGTCTCCGCCTTGGAATCCGAGTCGGCTCGGGGTCGTCGGCGAAGCGGACGGGAGGAGAGGAGCGAGGACGGCGCGAGTGTATTATAATCCTCTCTCGCTCGGGTCGGGTCCCTGCGTGCGCGCCAGATGGTACCAGCTGGATGACGCATCAAAGCAGAAAGCCTCCCCGCGTGTCCGAAGCGCGGTTCCGCCCACGGAATCGCGAGGGAAACACGTGCGTCTCCGCCGCCGCCGGCATCGTCCTCCGTCACGTTGCGAAACGCGGTCTCAATAGTGCGAGAATTCGATAGGATCTCGTAACGCGCCTGTGTTACCGAAGAACGTTATTCATCTACGCGTCGTCCGCGCGCGGAGACTGGCACCGCGTTAAATTTCAACGGCGACTTCCTCGAAGCGATTAATCTTGCGTTGATCATAATCTGATTGGTTGCGTCGGCGAACGATGTGGTTTCTGTAACATTTCATGTATAGCGAAGAGTAAACTAGGTAAAATTTCAAAAGCTCATAAAATTCTTGGAAATGCCGTGTTGTCTCACGATTGCAATATTTTCAGGATAAATTCTAAAAGAAAATTGTCTCCGTGTACATTTTTTAATGTCACAATACGACACGTGCGCATAACGATCGAAAGGCCGGTGGAAAAATCTTGATTACGTGTTTAGATTCGGCATATAAAAAAAAGGAACGAAAGAGTTAAATTGTGCGGCTTAGTTAATTACTTACATCTTTCTATATTGTCATCTATCTATTATCTGCAGCACTCGTAGGACAGCCATGATTAACGTATCTTTCTGTATTTCGTTTACAGCCGGTGTCATGGCCGGTTCCGAGAGGGACAGCGGCTCCTGCAGCAGCGTCGACGAGGACAGCAGATCGAGCCTGCATTCGCCTACCTCGTCCGAGGACAGTGTCGAAGTGCAGGTGACACCGATCTCGTTGCGGAACAAGCGGAAGCTGGCGGAGCCGCGAAAGATCCAAGAACCGGCAGTCATTGCCGCGCCATTGAAGAAGAGACGGTTCGAGCCTATTTCCGAGGAGACCACCGTGGATCAGGAGGAGACCAGGTCGCTGAGCACGCCAAATCCCTTCCGACCGTGGATTCCTGCCTCCTACAAAAACGAGTCCAAGGCAACCGCGACTTCGTCCTCGTCGACGACGACGGTGACGAGCACGATTTCCAACTCGACAGCGACGACAACTGCGACGACGTCGACGACGTTGACGACAACGCCATTGTCCAGCGAGGGAAAAGAAGAAGAGAGGAGGGGAGATCAAGACGAGACGACGCAGAGGCTACACGAATCGTTTAGGAGACTCCAGCATGCTACTGACCACGATCGATCGGCTGTTTCCTCGCGACGAGAGCCTCGTCAGAGGTTGTTCGACTCGACAACGCCAACAGCAGCAACGACGTCGACTCCGCCGAGCGTCATCGCTCTAGCGCATCCTAGGCTGCAGGATGAACCGTTGTCCTTGGTGGTGAGAAACGAGGCGCCCAGAGTGCCGTCGCATCCCGCCGTCAGTGGCTCCTACGAGAAAACGCCGTCGTACATGATGGAGCACTTGTTGGCGACTTCGTCCGGTCATAATCATCAAAATCACGAGACTCATCCGAGCCAGCGGAGTCACCAGAGTCACCAAGTGGCCTCCGCGTCGAGACACCACCACCAGGGCGGCCAGCAGAGAAATTACAAGAACATGACGAGAGAAAGACGGATAGAGGCGAATGCTCGAGAGAGAACCAGGGTGCATACCATCAGCGCGGCCTTCGACACGTTGAGACACGCGATACCCGCCTACTCGCACAACCAGAAGCTATCGAAGCTATCGGTACTGAGGATCGCCTGCAGCTACATCATGACACTCAGCAAGATTCTCGGGAAGGACAGCGAGGTGGCCACAAAAAGCAACGGCATTGCGGGCTTGGGCAGTTGCGTGGACCTGGTCTCCAGGACCATTCAGACGGAGGGCAAGCTCAGAAAGCGGAAAGACGACTAAACGAATCAAGGTTTCCACCTCAACAGCGGGAACAATATATGAAGATAAAGGACAATGGGATCTGTAACGAAAAACAGCAGGACATGTCCCGCCTCGCATTGTCAAACGCTTATACGTCTTCTATTCTCGATGCCATTTGATTCGTGGGGAGGTCAACCTAGGGTTAAGTAAGCTGTTAACCTAAGCAACTAATCCTCGCCGGTCTCTACGCTGCGCGTATTAATTCGTAGTGTATCGATCAGGAATGCGTTAACTTAGAGTCGCGACGGAAGGACTTTCGAAAGACTTGATGATAAGATTAATTAAATTGAGTCTTGCTCGCAGAACACGATTATAGGATTAACTACTTGTCGTTTTACAAAAATTGTATATTACGCTTTTTGAAATCATAATAAGCTTTAAATTCTAATGGACACTGTCAGCAGAGAATTTTTTGCGACGCCCGCAATGGGAATTCGTCTACCTACCTACCGATAGCAGTTGCGCAACCAGACAATAAAACTTTAGAGAGATTCTCATACTTAGATCACGCCTGATTTACAACAGACACTGCTCATTGCACCGCGTCACGGACATTACGGTAGAGAACGGCGAACGTTTATGTAGGATTTGATAATTCACGATAGAAGCTAGTCTTGAAGTTATCTTAACCCTTTCGAAGCGGTAATGGCAACGGTAAGCTCGTTACATTTCATTTGCTTATCCCAAAAAATACATCGAGACTTTTACTTTTAAGTGCAAAAATTTCAAGACTTTTAAACTCTCTTGTGAAGTGTAAATTAAATGTACACAAATTTTTCATAAAACAATTCTCTACACTGAGAAAAAAATTTTATTGGACAAACCAATTATAATAAATAGTATCTCCAACGGTTAATATCTTTTCCGATTAAATGAAAGATGCTTTGATCTGAAGAAATGCATCGATGAAATTTGATCGAAAAATTAGAATATACACAGTAGAAAATAGTGTGTTTAAATGTTAAAATTTTCTTGTGTTACCAAGATTTGATTCTTACTTCAATGTAAAATTAACACAAAACGTATATGTTATTATTATCGTAACACCTTTATGTGTTATATTTACGTTAACATAATAACTTGACACTTTATGTACATTATTTAAAAATTTAATATTATTTTGAGTTCGTTTAACACAACTATTTCACGAAATCAACCAGAACGTGTAATATCGACATTTCTTAAAAATTATTTCAACTATTCTGATCTGTAACTATTCGTACAGTTTACTTATCCCGACTTTTTTTTTACATCACACTTAAGGTTGAAAGAACATAAACGTAAATGTGAAGTACACTGTTGATTAATTAACTTATTAATTTAACTTAAATAATTTATAATTTATCAAAAAGTAACACACTCGATAAATGTTGTTTTAACTTAAAATTTAGAGTGGACTTTTTGGGACATGTAAAAAATGTTAACATTATCATTTTATTTTTACTGTGTACTGATCATATTCTTTATCGGATGTACAATTTAATCGAATCTATTCGTTTGTTTCCATGTAATTGGATTATCCGATTAGATAGGCCATTTTTTTCTCAGTGTAAATTTTCATATTCGCAACTATGGATTCGTAAAGTATTATAACGATGTATTTTCCTGGCGGAGCTTTCAATATTCTTCGGCGTGCGCTGCCGTTTGAAAGGGTTAAACGTAAAGCACGCGAACGCGCCTTAACTCGACCGAGCGGTTTCGTGTGTCACCTAGAACGATTTTCAAACTGATCAATTAAGATGCGCTTATTTCAACGAAAGGATGGGAGCAACGATCGCTTGCAATCTGTTGCACTTGTGCGAAATGCCGATCTAGGAGACGTACGCGAAAACGTAAAAGGACGAATAAAAAAGGAAGACAATAATAACGCTGCTTGTGGTGTTCTTGATAAGGCGATGAACGTTACGCGTTATATTATACGAAGTTATAAACGGTATCGTCTTCCTATAAGAATGTATGATAGTCAGGTAAACCACATGTAATGAAAGTATCATTGCTAGAATCAGGTGCGATCTGCTAGGATCGTCTCGTTTTCGAAAAGACTTCAATTTTTGGGGCTCACTGTTGGTCATCAAAAACAGAATATAAATGATATGAACCTGTTTTTTTTTTAAGAAATGGTTTTAAAATTAATATTGAATATTGTATAATATCGGCAATCTTTTAGAAAAAGTGTACCAAATGGTTTTGACTCCGGAATATGTACGTTGAATTAAACATCGTTAACAAGAGAATAATCGCACAGTTCGCAAGAGGAGGACGTTACCTGATGTTGAATTAAAGCTAAAAGAGTAGTCGGAGAGGAGTGGATCTATGCTCACACAGTCTTTTCGCGCAGTACCGTCGAGACTGCGTCTCGAATTTTGTAAATAGTAAATGTAACGATGTTACGACTAACGATTTATGTCGAAGCGAATGTACAGTGATTGAACGCGGTGCGAGAAAGGAGCGCATTTGCACGTTGGCCTTACGCGACGATCCGATGCGATATCCGATGTGTTCCTTTCTATGTTGTAAGGTAAAAAAACTTCGAACAAAGTTCAAATGCAAATGAAACTCAACAACGAAAATCGTGTCTTCTTTTGTGCAACAGCCTCCGCCTGTTCCTTCCCGTCACGATCCCCTTGACAATTACATTTATTTGAAATTGACATCACTTCTTAATCGCGAATTTTGCTCGTCAGAAATACAGCGAGAATATACGGGAGCTCGTCAATAAGCTTTTAACTTGTTCTGGCAGGCAGAAACGTTTATTATTATTTTGTTATGTTATTTTGAAAATATACATAACTGTTAACACGCACATCTTGCTCCGACTCTCTCCGCCTTTTGTTCATTCAGTATTAATTTCTATCTCTGGAGCTAATTTTTGTTAATTTGTTCCGTTCGAACGTTATTGCGTACAACACTCTAAAAGTCCATCAGTGAATTATCACTGAAAACACTGAATAGTCACTGATTCACAATTATAAGTAAACTAGTGGCACTAAATGTCGCCTGTCCAAACTATTTTTTATCCCTGCGGCCACAAAAATGGTCGAAAAAAATTCTGATAGAGCTTAAAATGACGGGCAGACATCACTTTATTTGTCACCAACTGGAAAATGTCGTAAGCGTTTGCTAACTTAGTTTCTTTCGTAAATTTCGTAACGAAGTGGAAAGTGCCATTTTCTTGCGTTCCTAATACAGCCTGCTTGTGAGCTTAATATTAAATTAATTGTTAGTACTTAACTGACATTGTGTTTTAACGTTTAATTGTAATACCATCATTCTATTCTCTGATTCATACTCTCTAATGTGGTACTCTTGGATTTGGAAAAGAAGAACAAGCAATAATATGTATTATACAACTACACTAGATCAGCCGACGTCATTTTACAAAAGTGTCATTGTCGTTACAACTATATTAAAAATACCTGTGTTGTTCATGAAATAAGCTAATCATCCTACTTTACACACAATTCTGTCCACAGTTAACAGACACCACTATTAAGCCAACGGCACATGATACTAGTTTTCTTACTGGATTGCTTACGAGAACCAATATCCTACACCACTGAAAATCGCAGGGTACACTTATAACTGTGAATCAGTGAGTTCACTGTTTTCAATGATAATCTACCGAATGACTCTTGGAGAGCATACTTTATTCGTCGGCTCGCAGACCGAAAAGATTATCGAACAAGTCCATTGCGACCGTCGCCGAACAATCCTAATAGAACAAGTGCTGGCGCATTTAGCGTGTTAGACGAGAGTACGAAACGAGAAACGAAAACGCGTCCAGACGTTTCTCTCTCGCGAACGCAACGCGGCGGACGAAAATCCGTGGTAAATTCAAACTCGGGGGCGGACATTGCTCGGTCAGGCGTACGTGCATAACCAGTTACAGCCAGATTTCGCGAGTTTGCCTAAGCGCCCGAGATGGAATCGCGACTGTTATCGCGGCGACGAGGTAAAAGTGGATCTAACAACGCGCGATTCGTAAAAAACAAAAAAAACCGTGTACACGCACGCACACGCGGAATGTATTCAGGTGTGACGACGCCGAACAACGTCGTCGGCGCTTCCCCAAGCGAATACGCACATCTGGCTCACAAAAGATAACGGTATCGGCCGACAATCCAATTGTGTTACCTGCCGCTGCACGATACACCGCGTACGACGGGCACTTTTCGGTACGTATGTACTCGTGAAATTGCGAGTTTTGCGTCGCTCTATTTGCGACAACCACAGGCGTTCTGTGAGAGCTACGGCGCTTCCTTTATCTATTAATATCAAATATTTTTCCATCGAACATAGTTCTCCGATTGACGTCCAGGGATGGATGTCGAACCCACCTGTTTTAAATCAATTACAAGTGTGAAGGCCATTTAGGACCTGGCACAGCTTGAGGTAGCCACTTAAATTACTATGTGACTCTATACACCGGCAAGCTCATTTATGCAATAGAGTCAATTTCGAAAATTTCGGACTGGTGTCGTTTTTGCAATCGCCGATTCAAAGCGGGGAGAAAAGCTCGAGGTGTTGAATCACGGAAAAATTATCCCCCGCCTGCGTGCAGGCTCTCGCGTGAGTTATAATCATAACTCTTTTAATTTGATTTAATTATCCTTTTGCGATTCGACGCGATCGTCGCGATTATTAGCGACGGATCGGCGCGGGGCTGCATCCGGTTCGGCAGCTGTTTAGCATAAGGGCAAATTGCTTAAGAGAATAATAATTCTCCTGCGTCGCCTCTCGCCCGTCGCTCGCGATCCGCGCCTCCTTCCACTATTATCCGGAGATGCGGCAGGTGGCGATGACGTTCTCGCGCTCGGCTACCTGCCTCGAAAACGAGCGCGCGGATTTTACTCGCAACGGGCGGCAGCGTCACATACGGGCATGTAGCACACGTGTGCACGCCACCGTGGCCGGACTCGCCGCGAGTTGTACGTGTAACACGGGCGTTAGGGGAGTAACCCGGGGAAGTTGACGCGGAGGCTGCGGGGAACCGCAGGGGCGGGGGGAGTAAGAAAGATGCATGCGCAACGAGATACGCACGCGGGAACGAGAGGCAACCGGATATGCAAATATTTAAACGATCGTATTATTTGCGCGCGCGCGCGAGCGAAATCGCGCTGCCAAAAGTATTTGCGTACTCGTATAGAAACGTCGAAGTGCACCGAGTACTCGGAACGCTGGCGGATTCTGTTCTGTATGATCTGTATCTACTCCGCCATTTAAGCGTCAAGGTAATTCGACACGTAGGCCTAATGGCAGCTAGTGGGCTGAAGATTAAATTAAATAAAAATTGGATCGCGTTTTACTCCGGTTCAGCCCCTGTTCGTTGTATCGGTCGCACTCGTTAGCTGACCGGAAATTAGAGAGATTTAATTAGCGCGACACCGCTCGAAATTGATTATGGATATCAAATGGTACATTGAGAAAATTTTTCATCGGATAAACCAATTAAATTGTGTTTCCGACTAAATGATGGATACGTCCTATGAAATTTATCCGATAAAATGCAGTTACCGATTAAATTTGATTGAAAAACCGATCACATTTTTCATCGAATATATCCGTTTGTTATTATGTAATTGGATTATCCAATTATATTTAATCGGACATTTTTCTCGATGTATTTTTCTTAAAGGAAAGAGAACAAGGACGAGCGTTTTTAGAAGACACGATTCCTGCGTTTAAGAAAGCGGCAAGTTGCAGCAACATGATTAGTTAATTACACATCGGGACAAATTTTCATCGGATAAGCCAATTAAATAGCGTTTCCGATGGTTCATTTTTCCGATTACGTTTTCCGATTAAATTATGGATACATCCGCTGAAATTTGATTAAAACACCGATCACATCTTTCATCGGCTATACAATTTAATCGGATATATCAGTTTGTTATTACGTAATTGGATTTTCCGATTATATTTAATCGGATATTTTTCTCAGTGCAGGGATGTGGTTCCACTATAGATAAAAATAAATGAATGGACTTTTCTACATCTTCATGTATGAAACATGTACCTC